GAAATTACAATCCTGCCGTCCTCGTTCAGGTAAAGCACGGTTAATGTATTATATTATTGACTCATAATGCATTACTTTAAGAGTAGGCAATCTAGGCATATTAACATAATAAATTAAACATACTTATCACGGCAACGGTGTACTGAGATTTATTTTAATTTTTTATTTGAAAAGAAAATATTATTTATTTATTTATTTTTGTTGCTATGGGGCCCCTTAGTGGCTGCGGGGCACTAAGCGGCCGCTTATGTCGCTTAATGGGTTGGGCAGGCTCTGATCTTTACCTGTGATTACAAGAAAGTAAACCTTTGAACATTTGAATTAGGAAATTGAACATTAAAGGAACACTTTTCACCTCAAATTGGGATTTGTGTATCAGTTACTCACCCGGTGTAACCCTGAATATGTGAAGAAAAAAGTCTTAAAATGGGAGCCACATTTAACAGCGAAACTATCCTAAAAAATATCAGACTCTTCATTTATTAAGTCATATGCTCCCAACATAAACAATTTGAATAGTAAGGTTTGAATGAAAATGCCTTGATACATGAGACTTGGATTGTAGGCCTACTTCACAAATTGTGTAAATGCGGCCCACATTTATCGCAATTCGTTGTGAATTTACTCGGTTTTGGGATAATCCGTAAGGCAATTCATGGTAGCAGGAGAAGTTATTGATAAACAAATGATCGTCTTGTGGGTGAAGTATTCCTTTAAATATGTTTTATTTACAGTCTGACCTGTTAAAGGTGGGGTATGTAATTTTAGAGAAACCAGCTCGAGTGCGCTAGAATTTGAGAGTACACAACCGGAAAAAATCTGCCTCTTCCTTCAGACTTCCTTACAGAGCCCCTCCTCCAACACACACAAACGCGCACATGACCAATGAGGGCACGAGATAAATTTGTGCACAGATGGAAGGCTGACAGGCAGGTAGGCCATCCAGTTATTTTAGCCGGGCCGGCTAAAATGATTGGTCGTGCTTTTTACAGCACTATGGCTTCCACAGATTACATTTTTTAATGTATTTATTGTCAAAGCATTTAATATATTCATTGCTATCGGGATGTTAAGAGCATTCCATGGAATATAACAAAAAGTGTTTCTGAAATAAATTACACTGAACAAAAATATAAACGCAACACTTTTGTTTTTGCTCCCATTTTTCATGAGATGAACTCAAAGATCTAAAACATTTTCTATATACACAAAATAACCATTTCTCTCAAATATTGTTCACAAATCTGAAAAGATCTGTGATAGTGAGCACTTCTCCTTTGCCGAGATAATCCATCCCACCTCACAGGTGTGGCATATCAAGATGCTGATTAGACAGCATGATTATTGCACAGGTGTGCCTTTGGCTGGCCACAATAAAAGGCCACTCTGAAACGTGCAGTTTTGCTTTATTGGGGGGGGTCCGAAAACCAGTCAGTATCTCGGGTGAGGGGTAGGATTAGGGTTAGGGGTAGGGTTAGGGTTAGGGTAATGTTGTGAATCGAGTGGCCTGTGTTCGTCGTCCATAACATACGCCTGCCCATACCATAACCCCACCACCACCATGGGCCACTCGATTCACAACATTACCCTTACCCTAACCCTAACCCTACCCCTAACCCTAATCCTACCCCTCACACAAGATACTGACTGGTCTTCGGACGCCCCCAGACCCCCCCAATAAAGCAAAACTGCACGTTTCAGAGTGGCCTTTTATTGTGGCCAGCCTAAGGCACACCTGTGCAATAATCATGCTGTCTAATCAGCATCTTGATATGCCACACCTGTGAGGTGGGATGGATTATCTCGGCAAAGGAGAAGTGCTCACTATCACAGATCTTTTTAGATTTGTGAACAATATTTGAGAGAAATGGTTATTTTGTGTATATAGAAAATGTTTTAGATCTTTGAGTTCATCTCATGAAAAATGGGAGCAAAAACAAAAGTGTTGCGCTTATATTTTTGTTCAGTGTACATACCCCACCTTTAAATAAAAATAGTGGCTAATGTTTGTTAACTTAAGCAAGTTTTGTTGAGTCTTGTAAGACTCTTTTAAGATCAAAGTGTCACAAATAAAGATTTAGATCCTTTTTTATCACCTCAATGAATCATCATTCAACAATAGAAAGAAAAACACCTCTCAAGACGTTTGATGCTGTTTCCACTCTCTCTCAGTCAGGTCACATAAAGATGATGTTGTTAGAGCAAGAGACACCAAAGCGCCTTGGGTAATGTAGGAAAATTCAAATGGACATTATCGAGGCTGCTTTGTTTACATACATATCTTCCTGAGGAGTTGGTGGAGACCAAAACAGAGATTAAAGTAGACAGGATTTAGGATTCACATTATTTTGTACAAAAACAACCCCATATAATGCTTATGTTGCTCTGCTGGATCTGCAAATGGGCAAACTGTTTGCCAACAGGTTCATCATATAAATTTATCAGGTGAAAATATGAAAGTGGAGTATTTTTGCCCTTTTAATTGCCCAATATACTCAATTATAGTAGGTATAAATATGGTTTTATAACCATCAGTGGAGGAGGACCCACATTTAATGCACTGTAAAAATACTCAAATAGAGCCAAAGGTGTACTTATGGCTAATTGCAATGTACAGTTACAAATAACGTGGAGCATACACGGGATATAAGAGCAACTTCATGAAGGAAATCTCAAACTTACAGGTGTGTCACAACATGCCCGGCCTGCTATAGCTCTGTGCCGCATAGTTCATTTATTATTGAAATACCAAACTCTATGTACCAATAATGATGATAAGAACACACATTTTCCTGCCATAACAGGTGCTACAAAACTAAGAGATGGGAAAAACTGTTCAACACTTGCACTAGTTCCTCTTTATGTGGCCGCAGGTTCCTGCAGCAAGTTCCTCATACGTGTTCTCGTCCTAAATAAAAAACTAATTCAGAAGAGCCGTTTGTATTACATTATTTCCCAATCAGACGGCAATCATGTCAATACGAAGGCCCTTTGAGGAAGTATTACACAGTCTCACAAACAAAGCTCGCCTCTTTGTACAGGAGCCGTTAGAGAATGAGGAATTTAGTGTTGCGAAACCAATTAAACTGCGTTTCACACATATCACAAGATGTTCAGTTAAATTTGTGTCCCACAGATCAAGTGTAACCCTTTAAATGAGGGGTGTAAGCATGGATATGAATATTTGATGAGACGCAGAACAATGGCCTTTTGAATGGAGATAGAAGATTATCACACAGACGCACTTGATTGCAGCTGCTGTAACATCGACGCAAAAACTATATTTTATACATTTATGTCTAAAATTGGAAAACAGACAACATAAACTGTAAACTGAAACATTTGCTGGGTGTCGTCCTGCTTCAGTTACGCTGTTTTAATAATGTAATTTCAAAGCTGCTCTCTTAAGTCGTCTGGATATCTCTTCATCTGATTTCTCTCACAGTCATGTCTGCAGGATTCCTCCCAAAATGCCTTGTGTTGTCTGGCTCACTGAAGCTCCAGACCAAGAGGAGCGAGGAAAGCCAAAGCACATGAAGAACCTATTAGGGGGCCTATAGCAGTCAGCAGCAGCCCTGGGAGGCCAGCCAACTCAGTGTGTGAACAATAGGGAACCCAGCTCAACAAAAACATCCTGCAGAAGTGAGAGACTGGGAGGGAGAGCGGAAAGGACGAGCGGGCGAGCAGCGAGCCCCTTCGGACCGCCACAGCATCAAAACATCTAACTCTCCTGGAGTCTGGATCCGACAAATCAAATGCATCAGAACATTTGAGGTCAGTGATGGTTCAGCAGCAGCTCAGAAAGAAACAGCTGCTTCAATAATAACAATAACTCTTTTTTCCCCGAGAATTTAAATCCAGCATCACACTGAAATGAAAACTCCCAAACCACAAACTGTTGTTTAAAGCACATTTCTAACCCTCATTGCTCAAACGTTTGCAGCAGGACGACACCCAGCAAATGTTTCAACACCAACAGGTTGGACATGCAAGAAGACGTATTGTAGTGTCCCTTTTCCCACGACCCTCCCAGTCGCGTAATATCAGTTGCAACGCAGCATTTCAATGAAACGGACAAAACATGACTCAATGAGAGCTTTAAACTCAGATATATAGGTGTTGAGACGTATAACTAATAGTGTCTTCAGTCTTTATAGGTTTAACAAGTAATATAGAAGAAAGAAATGACTGCAAATGTTCATTTAAAGGCTTCACTTCACTCATAAGCTTTTGATTTTGGCTCAAAATGAATCTTTGTGTTCCACTTTTTTTGACTCATGGCCAGTCAGATAAAGTGTGAGTGGTTTAACAGTTCAACCAACCATTTGTGGGGTCATTTCACCATCACAAGTACATCTTTTACAAGAAGGATCACAGAAATTGACATGAATGTCCACCTTTAACAGTGTTTATTTAATTTGTAGTGGTACACGGCTTATGGGAAGGGGTTAGTGACGTGAAAGATCATTTGAGGGAATTATTATAAATGAATGATTGAAAGATACATTCAAGTGTGTGCAAAAGCAGGTTGTTAGCATTGAGCTGAATTGCGGCACAGAGCTTGGAAAGAGAGCACAAGAGAGGAGTGTGTGTTGGAAAGTTTTTGAGTGTGTGGGGGTAACATAAAACCAGCTCTCCCACAACACACACAGGGGAGGGGACCCTTCTTTAAACTGAGCCTACCCACAATGCACCGGGCTCTTTTATCCTGGCAGTGAAAGGATGAGGCCAGAGGAATGACAAAGGGAGAGAATGGGGATCTGGGTTGGGCCCGGCCCGGCTTGGAAGATAGGGAGGGAGTAGAGGGAGGGAGTAGAGAGAGAGAGAGAGAGAGAGAGAGAGAGAGAGAGAGAGAGAGAGAGAGAGAGAAGGGGTGTGTTTCCCAAACCAACCTTTTATGAAATATGCAGGAGTGGGGAGGCGGGAGAAGGGGGGGGGGGGGGGGGGGGTGTAGCTTTCTACTTGGGAGATGAGGAAGAAATGTATGCATACACAGAGAGTTTGAGTTTAATGATTTCTTTACTGGCTTGTACACAAACGTACAAAAATAATACAGCATTCATCTCCACATGACGTCACGTCATCATCACAGTGTTACAAACGCTCAAAAAATAAAAGAATACAAACTAAATCAAACATGATGGAACATCTGCATCATTCATGAAAAAAAATCAGCCGTTTCCTCTCGCTTGAAATGAAGCGAGACCAGGAAACACAACTTGGTCCAAAGAAGTCATCACTTTTTTTTTTCTCTTTAAAAAAAAAAAATCATCTCACTCATGCACACCAACGGCGGCTGGCTCCTTACGTCATAAATGTTATGACCCTGGTAAGCCAAACAACCACACAACCGTGCAATCTTTAATCATGTTACAATGATCTTACCATCAAATGTATTATTCCCCTTTAAAAAAAAACAGGAAGACAGCACTTCAGAAAAGAAAGTGCCCCAAGATATCATCATCATCATCAGCGTCGATATATATATATCCATATGTATATATACATTCACCCAATCACAGAGATACACGCATCTTTGTTAAAAAAAACATCATGTTCTTTCCACAAAGTAACACACACATTAGGACATTATCACCTGGAGCATATATTTATACAATAGTATTTTGTTGTGTTTGTGTTTTTTTCTATTCAGAAAAAAATTAAATGTTGACACATAAAAGCCAACTTTTTTAACAACAGTCATCAGTGCAATATTCGAAACAAAAAAAAACAAAAAGGAAAAAACATCAAGTTTAAGACAAGCGATGCATATTTAATTTGTTGCCTGATACCAATGTATACCATGATGAAGTGGATCTAGAATCGCTTCAGTTTACTTGTGGTTATTCCAGGTTTAAAATGGAAAGTTGTAACAACACCAAGCCCCTCATGAGACGCACACAATCACACAAACACACTCTCTTTCAAAAGCTTCTCATGTGGTGACCCGGTGCTGCTGTGACTTGAGCAGTAAAAAAACAAAAACATTTAACATTTAAAAACAAAAAAAGAAACATACAAGCAGCATTGATACAAATGTTAGGGTGCCATGACTTTCAAAATGCAGCAGGCAAGTTGATGAAACCAATTTCCTTTTCTGTGACTTCCTGCAATAGTCATGTGGCGTTGTGTTTTTTTTTTTTAAAGTCTTCATCGTCCAACAGTATTAGGGTCCTGCTCAGTAGTAGTAACTATTCCAAAGCCTTGGCTGCTGCAGTTACCCCGTAAAAACACTGGGGGCGCACAAGGCTCCGCATTTTTGTGCAATAAAACTCCCTGCATTTATAAGTCATGCGATACAATTCCATTTTTTTTTGTATTCCTGGAAAAGATGAAGACAGAAAGAGAGGAAAAAGTGGAGGTTTATAGGGAAAACAATGGCAGTGTGTGAGAGACAGAGACTCCCTTGCAGAAACGATGCATTGCTTGACAGAATTTGTTTGGTTGTGTAAAATAAACTGTCCCGACTGAGGATGCAGGAATGGGATCTTTGCATCTTCTGTAATGAAGTCCATCTGTCTATTATAGGCTACAAAAAAAAAACATACTGGCATGTGGATGATCACAGACACATTGTGAATGTCTCCTCAGACTCCAAACAACGTGGCAGAGTGGTGAGAACAACTTGAGAATACTTTATAGTCGAGGTAGCTGGCAAAAGGCAACCAAACAAAGTCCTTTTAATGGGAGGAGGAGAGGGGAGGGGGGGAGAAAGTCCTTGAGGGTCAACATGCTTTAACAGAGGGGTTTTTTGGGTGGGGGTGAGTATTTGGAAGGGGGGGGGGGGGGGGGGAGTGGCAGGTCTACCTCCACACGGGACAGTTTATACTACGAGTCTGAAGCAGCTTGAGTCACCCTATATTCTGACACTTTTGTTAAAGAAGAACCACAACAACAAAAAAATGCATCTTCTCAATGTACCTTCATAAATAAAATAAAAACCCAGCCTGCTTTCACAGTGATGACTAGGATGTTAATAAAATACTGAAAGGAGATTATAAAGTGATTTCCAAATGCGACTTTTTTTTATACAAAGCGAAAGCAGCGGTTTCTTTCTCTCTCTCTTAATAACACAATGACCAAAGGTCGCAACTGGCCTGACAAGTTGGACGCCAGGTAAGATCTGCATGAAGAGCGCATTTAGCTACTTTTTTCTCTTAAAAAAACAAACAAAAGTAAAGCTATTGTGTACAGTACTTCACAACAATGATGGAGTCCCTTGTTGTTACATGATTACACATCTGAAAGCGTGTTGGATAGCCATAATGCCGCTCTTTGAGTAAAACAAAAAAAGTTAAAGAAAACAGACCTCTGGTAGCCAACAGAGGGCAACCCTTCTTCTCTTGTTCCTGTGTCTTCCCTTTCAGATATTCCAGCATGCAGCCATAGAGCATCAAGTGCCGTGTTTCATATAAAATAACTTAAAAAGGGTTTTTACAAGTGAACAATGAGGAGCAACAGTCTCCCCCCCACCCCTCCCCACAAAGAAACTATTCAACTGTATAACCGGGGATGGGAGGTCATGGATAGAAAAAGAAACTGGGCCATCTGCACTCTGGAGTCCAAACACACACATGTGATACACACACACACTGGCTTCTTTTATAGTGGACGACAAGATCTAGTACACATTCAAGAGGAAAGCTTTAGTACCAACAAACTCACCAAAAATTGTGTTTTTTTTCTTTTGTTAAAAAGATTCGTGTTGTAGCTGTGTGTGGAGCATGAGGTGCCACACTCAGGAGTGCAGAGAGGACCCCGTTTGGTTTACAATGAGGGAAGATTATTGTGCAGGTCTTTATATTTCCTTTTTTTAAATATAATTTGGCACAACTATGACGATATTGGCAGTTTTTTTTGTTGCTTTTACAAGAGCCTGGCTTTCCCGTGTGTTGCAGTTTTATTTTCCACTTGTTGTTTTTTCTTGTTTTACCTGACAGCAGAGACATATCACCGGGCGCCAGAGGAGTACTTGGCCTTGGTGATGAGGTATAGCACAATGTCTTGGTGGCCCCCGAAGGCGGCGATGTGTAAAGCGCTCCACCCTTCCCTGTTGGCCAGCCGGATGTCTGCACCAAACTTCACCAGCAGTTTTACCAGCTCCAGGTTGCCGTCAATGACAGACTGGTGCAGGGCCGTCTGCCCTTCAGGCCCGAAGGAGTTGACGTTGAACTCGCAGTTTGTCATGTTCTGCAGCAAAGAGTGCAGCTCCTTGGTGTTGCCCTGCTTCACTGCCTCCTGGAAAACCCTCTGCGGCGCGGAGCAAGTCGAAACATCCGCCTGGCTCATGGTTGCAGCTCTCTGGAGGTTGGGGGGGAACCAGTAATCCTGCCCGGGCTCTAAAGCTGATAATAATCGTCCTGTTGAGCGTCTCTGGTCTGGTGACAATGCCACAGTTAAACTGGATTACAACCAGTTATTAAAGCACTTTAAAGTAGCCTACTAAAAGATCACCGTGTATATCCCAAAAAGGACAAGAAAGGAAATAACACACTTGGTGTGCAAAAATGTTAATATTGAGAGATCCTGAAATCCCTAAAACATAAAAAGGGTGCGATCCAGGGTTCTGTAGACGTAGTTCCCCCTCCGTAGCAGCAGCAGGTAGCCTGTAGCAGGGGATGGAGACACCTCCGGCTTCTCTTGGGGAGATTGGAAGTATGGTCACTATCTCCACGGGGCAGGTTTTCCTTAAACGCTCCAACCTGATTCCCGGCTACACGTCCCGGCTGTGTCGCTGCTCATGTGGCCAGGGGGTCTGCGGAAGACAAGAGAAAAAACATCCGAATGAGTCCCGGTTGCGAGAGACCCCACACATTCCGCCACATCCGAGAGTGCGAGAGGAGACCTCCGTGCGCACACGTTTACGCACAGTTACACTGCTTGATATTTGCCACTAAATTACTAGACAATGTGAGCCGTTGCAGATTTGGGACTTACCTGTGACAGATGGACGGGTCCGAAGCGACGAAAATGATACAAATCCACCGTGGGGCCCGGGCTGTGTCCTCCTCGCGGTCCGTGTGAGTCTCTGCCCTGCGCTGCGCTCTGGGGGAATATTTTACGCGTCCTCTATTTGCATGACAATGCCATCCCGAAGAATCAACTGTGGAGGAATGGGCGGAAACGCGGGGAGGTTATAGGCTGCCGGCTCGGTTAAGGGGAGGAACCGGGCCCCTGTGAATCTGCGGGGAGGAGGCGGGGTCTTCCGAGGAGGGAGCCAAACGTTGCTGCTGCAGAAATATTAAACAAGCCGCCCGCAGCAATGGTGAGCTCTATATCCGATCTCCTGTAGCAGACCCCAGGAAGCTCTGAAAGCCAGAGGCATGGAGCTGCCGGGGCTGTAAAATGCTGAGAGAGCGGGTACGTTGTAAAGGATCATCCGCTGGATTAACATCAACAGGAACTCCGCACAAAAAGTCAATCAAGCCTCATGTCTCAGTGACAGCCAGAGAATAAGACAGGATTTCTTTCATGTGAAAAAAAGCGTGCTGAAAATAAACAAAATAGCACATTTATTTTTAAATAAGAACTAAATTGATGAAAAAAATAATATTTGGTTTCATTTTTCCTGTCACAACAGGTGACAGTTGAAGAAAACTTCACTTGATTCCCTCTTGATATTGAGAAAATGTTTAACTTCATAAAAGGTAGTTGGACTTTACATAACGTGAGAAGACATGGTTGATTAAGATGGTGGTTTTCTGTTAAAAGGGGGTACTTGGACTCATTAACACCTTTTTATGCTAAATTGGGCCAGAAAAGGGGCTGATAATGACATGCTGTCCAGGGGAGGCTCGGGTTTATGTCTTGCTATTACGTGGCCCGAATTATTTGTAATTTCACAAAGACACTCACTGTCAAAACACAACAGGGATTTATTTGCACAAATATGAAATAAAAATGGGCGGAACGCTGGACCCTGACTTTGCTCTTCTTCTGCGTAAATGCTATTTAAAACCGAGAGGCTATTCGTGCAGTTAACGCTGAAATAAAGAGTTTTATTCTCCATATAGGGCTCAAGGGGGACATATAAAAGTAGCATTTAACAGCGTATGTCTCAAGTGTGAACCTATATATATATATATATATATATATATATATATATATATAGATACAGTCTGTGAACGCATCTTACACCTCAAAGATCCCCAAGACAGTGATTATCTCCGAACCAAATGTTAACGACAGTAAATAGAAAAATCACAACCGCTCCATCTCAAAACACACCCTGGGGAGGAGATTATAGGTGGCTGTTTGAATCATAAACTGCGGATATATTCCAGTTGTTTTAGACTGTGGGACTTCGAATAACAAAAGCCCCTGCGCTACTTCCTTTTTGCAAGTGAAAGAGGTGACGCTGTGCGCAGATTGACACGCCGCTCAGCTTCCCCCACCACCGTGGGAACTGGGTGCCTGTGTGTGTGTGTGTGTGTGTGTGTGTGTGTGTGTGTGTGTGTGTGTGTGTGTGTGTGTGTGTGTGTGTGTGTGTGTGTGTGTGTGTTTTAGTGTGTGAAAGGCAGCCTGAAGGTGGTGAGAGAAATTGATAGATATAGACTCGGAGTTTGACAGAAAGAATACATGAGAAAGTCACAGAGCTGCGTGGATGGGAGTAAAAAAGAGAATCATGTGAAAACCACAGCAGGTACATCTCAGCGTCCCCCGGGGCGTCTGCTCCGTTTGGCGGACCGTAAACCTTATCTCATCTGTGCTACACTTTATAAACCGCTCTGATGGTTTGGTGGCTTTCACACTGTCCTCGTTTTCCCACACTCTGAACTGTACATTTGGCGCACGTCTGTGACCGCATCTGTCTATGTGCATATGTGCGTCAGTCAGCGTGAGAGACATGCAGCAGAGATCACACAAATGAAGGTCACAACCTGTTTTGTATAATCTAACACAACAGGAAGACTACATATTAATGATCACATTCAGCAGTTACGTACAGCAATATTTTTTAATGGAGCCAAGTGGCTACATTATTTCTAAAGCTGTCATGGACCTATACACTCATACAATTATGTGAATTACACTTTAAATAGTGTATTTACCAGAGCTTTACTTAAAGGTTCTTGGAGATAAGCCAGTTAGCATGAAACAAACATTTACAAATGTCTAATTGACTGAATAAACTTTAGGTCAACTATGACAAAAAACTGCATTTAGTCGACTAAGAGGAACTTACCTAATGACGTCTTAATCACATTTGGAGTGCATTGCAATGGTCATCATGGGTAACCTTTGTTTTAGACTTTGGTTGGCATGTGTCCATTAAGTTGTAGCACTTTAAACATATAGTTCATACAGACTCTTAATCAATACACACATTATAGAAACCAGTGCTGGTACAGGCACTGTCTTACTTGTCAAATGTGTCTGTCTATTTTATCTAAAGAATGACTAAGGGAACATGTAAATAAACTCGATTGCTTGGTTCCATTATTTCTACACCCTTGGGAGCATCATGGCACACCACTTTTGACAAGTTTGGTAAGGTGTTGAATACTGTACAAACTGTAAAGCCTTAAAGGATAATCTGTGACTTTAGGCTTTTTAAAATCGACTTGACTTTTATATGACAAGGTGAGTGAAGTGCTAATGTTGCTATTTATGCTAACATACACTCATCCAACTGTTGTTTTACTGTTGGCCTGATGTTCAAACCAATGGACTTTAGCCAAACACCTGCCAACAAATGGGAAACACGTAATTCTATTTTATAATCTCAGATGTGTCATAACATTGTTGAAATGTGGCAAACAATTAATGTGATTCAGTTGTTTTAGACACTGACTGTTTTTGAAGTTTTGTTCCTGCAACAAGTGGCCCACAGCTGCAAATGCTCTAAAACAAAGACTGTGGCTCTGACTCATTGATAGCAATGTGGTGAATACCTAACTCCGACCCCTTACCGTAGGCTACACTAACATGTGTGTTTTCCTCTCTCCATGCTTCATATGACACAGACCTGCATGTGCACACTGGAGTTTAGTTCAAACAACTCAAAGTACATTAGGAAATGTTCAAAGGTTGTGGGTTATGGTTGCGTATTCAGATTTGGTATTTTAGGATCACTAAAAGTTTTTATTACATGTGTTGTATATATATGGGATTTTTTCTTCTTTGGTTTAGTGAATGGTGCGGAACATCTTCTGGAAAATCAGGAACATCTGTTGGCTATCAGAGCTTTGGCTGCAGTGTGTCTGGACACTTGGAAAACATTTGCACAGACCGCAGGAGCCAAACGTTTCTCTGACTGGATGAGTTTCTCCTACAAACTCTGTGGCATTTGCTCTCCTCTCTTTGCCTTGCACCGCCCCCCCACCCGCTGCTCCTGAGTCTAATGTGTGTCTGGGAAGCAGCCAAGAACAGATACAATTATGAGGCTTTGTACACTTTAAGCAGTGATGAAGTCGCCTACTTATTTTACAATCTCTGATTTTCTCTTTGACAGGTCTAATTATCAACACAGCTTTGTTAAGACTACCATTCAGTTTACAGGGAGCAATGGAGCATTCCATGCGTGCGTAAAAGCATCATTTTTTGCAATAAACGACGTCCAAATAATGTTTTTTAAAGCGTTATCGAAGAGGTTTTGTGGAGTCAGTGCTGGTGGTGACACAAAGATAAAACAAGTCTATTCTGGTTCTATTATTGCAGCCATATCTCTGTTCTATCGCTGTGTGTTGATAAACAAGTCGTGTTTTTTTCCCAGCAACATAGACTGAGCCCAGATTGGTGCAGTGTTGTAAACGGAGCACCGGGCAGATCGGTGCGCTGCGCCGAGATTTGGCGCCGAGAGCCGGGGCAGCCGGGGCCAGACGAGACGGGAGGAGCCTGTTGAATGCGGGTCGCCTGAGAGGGGAGTCCGGATCGGAAAACTCACACACTGGGACACACGGAGGAAAACCGTCATGTAAAAATGTCAATTTTTTTTTATTTATCATTACGCCTTACATTCATGCCAGAAAGCATGTTGAGAGAGAGAGGTGACGTTTTACCGGGAGAGGGAGGGCCTTCTGAATCCAATTCATTCCGGGCACCACGTGTCCTCAGAGCGTGGGAAAGAGGCGAGCTTTTCTTCCCAGCAAAGAAAGAGCAAGGATCAAATAACACGGTGCTGCAGCAGAAAGCTCGCGCTCTGCGCAGAGGCAGGGGCTGCGACCACCCGGACAAGGACAGGACAAGACACACAGAGAGGGGCTTATTTTGGGAGCAAGGGTGTCGATGTTACTTATTGAGCAATAAAAATACTTCAGGGTGGATTAATGTTACTGTAGTTATTATAGTCTTCTTAAAAAAAAGAGAAAGCGCAAGGCTACGTGGCAATATTTTTGTATTCCTGGAAGTATGAAGAAATAGGTGATACAACTAACTTAGGCAACTTGTTCAACCCTTATTTGCGGATGGAGACTTTTGTTTTGTTTACCTTTAATGTAAGATTCAGGACAGTCTCTCCTCCCGATTTATTTCAGAAGCATTCTGCTGCTGGCAACATCATGCATCCAGTTTATCAGCAACCTCTTCCACACCTGAAAGTCTGACATTGAAATAATTAAATAAACTGCTGAAAATCTGTTTCCCTTTTCTAAATGCTTAAATGAAGAAAACAGTAGGCCTATTAATACAATCGAACTGCATATTTTGTACAACTATTAATGTGATTAGTCTGTCAGTTTTTTGGGGGGGCATTTCTTTGTCTAGGTGCCTTGCTACCAAAGTTGGTAAAATGCCAAATATTACAAAAAAATCACAACAGGATTGTCTAAATTGGTTAAACTATTACAGCTAGGAATAACTGAAAAACATCATATCATGACTTTAGGTTACAATGGTCAAAGTCGGGTCACATTTTTTGTATTTGGTACCTTGTTAGAAAGTGGTATTACAGTTGCTGAAATGCCTCTCAAACCTATACAGCTCACAAGAGAATAACCCTTAATATCTTCAACTAAAACATTCAAGATTAGCTCATAAACATGGCGTATTATTGCAGGATGGAATTGTTTGAGACCCTTAAGTCATGTCTGAGACAGTAATCCGCATGATCTCTTTTTCCAGGACAGTTTCTGGTTAAGACATTACATTTACCTCCGACATATGAGCAGGTCCGGATCACCCAGCATGCACTATAATGCAGTGAACTCCAATATACACTCACTTTTACAACATTATTCTTTAGAAGCGACAATCGTTATGTCCTTAAGAGTTAAGTGGATTATTTATGGTGTAATATCACTTACTGAATCAAAGGTTATGCAATTGGTTAATGGTTTTACATTACTTACACGTGGAAGTCCTGACCTGCTGTTAAAACATGTGATGTTGAGAAATGTCCTCTTCCTTCAAATAACTTTGGAAAGGAAGCACATTTGGTTATATAACACTTCATTCCAAAGCAATGTCAATTTCCACTGCTTGCTGGGATACAGATTGGGCTGCAGCTCAGCTCCCTGCAAACTGACAGCTTGTGAAGTTACTGAAGATTTTTTTATCGTTTACACATGTTGTTATTCATGATATGATAATCAGGTTACAGTGTGTGTATTATCAGGGATGCAACCTCATCAGGTATGAAAAAGGTGACAAGGACCCGAGCCCCCCGACCCCACGGAATATCGGCTTTAAAATGAGGAATAACAGGATGTTAGCAGTCAGAACAACTAAAGCAGCAGTGTTAATAATAACAGAAACGCCAAAGAGTCACATCTAATAGAAATATATAAAAGCATTTATTTTAATTGTGTAGCAGTCAGTTTATCATTCTGGCAGCACTGTTGAGCATTTTGGAAATGTATTTTCATGCCTCTGTGCAAGGCTTAGTCTTTCTATCTGTATAGCCACTGGTATAAAGTAAATAAGTTCATAAACTCAAGTACTATATGGGTACAATGTTGAGATACTTGTACTTTATTTAAGTATTTCAATGTTTTGTAAGAAAGTAGCAGATTTGTTCCGGCTGTGTATTTTCAAATTCTAACGCACTCGAGCTGGTTTCTCCAAAATGACCTACCCCACCTTTAAATTACAGGCAGTTTTTAATATTATTCAGACTCAGCTCTCTGGGCTTAAGCGTATTTCAAATGTTGATAAAACTAAGGTAATGCCTATTTTCAAAAGCCAAAAAGACACTGGAGACCACTTTGGATATTGTAATTGAAGTGGTTGCCTGTAATAAATACCTTGGTATCTGGCTTGATGATTGTCTCTCTTTTAAATTTCTGCTTAATCTTAATCTGCTTAAAAAACTGAGGGTGAAGCTAGGTTTCTTTTTCAGAAACAAGTCCTGTTTCTCACTTGAGGCCAGGAAAAGGCTAGTCTCTGTGACCTTTTTACCTGTGCTATGGTGATCTCCTTTATATGAATGCACCTGCCCATTACCTGCAAAAGTTAGATGCCGCCTATCACAGTGCACTGAGATTAGTTACTAACTGTAAAGTATTAACTCATCACTGTACCCTGTCTGCCAGGGCAGGTCTGCCTTCACTTACTGTACGGAGGCTCAGTCATTGGTACATCAGGCATGAACACAGGTCAGGGGTGAAAAAGGTGAGAAGGATATTATCCCTCTAGGGGGGTCCGGGGGCATGCTCCCCCGGAAGAACATTTTGAATATTCCATATTTTAAAGCATCAATCTGATGCATTTTGAGATGCATTTTTTTGCCAACCTGGGGAGAGCTGGAGAAACTTAACTTCAGCCATGAGTCAAAAATATTATGGCCTCCTTACTAAGTATTATCAGGGATGCAAACTCATCAGGTATGGAAAAGGTGACAATGACCCGAGCCCCCCCGACCCCACGGAATATCGGCTTTAAAATGAGGAATAACAGAGGATTTTAGCAGTCAAAACAACTAAAGCAGCAGTGTTAATAATAACAGAAACGCTAAAGAGTCATATCTAATAGAAATATATAAAAGCATTTATTTTAATTGTGTAGCAGTCAGTTTATAATTTTGGCAGCACTGTTGAGCATTTTGAAAATGTATTGTCATGCCTCTGTGCAAGGCTTAGTCTTTCTATCTGTATAGCCACTGGTGTAAAGTAAATAAGTTCATAAACTCAAGTACTATACTTGGATAAAATGTTGAGATACTTGTACTTTATTTAAGTATTTCAATGTTTTGCTACTTTTTTCTTCTTCTCCTCTACAGTTCAGAGGTACATGGTGTACTTTGACTCCACTACATGTATTTAATCCCTTTAGTTACTTTACAGATGTGGATGAATGATGTGAAATATAATCAAGTGTTGAATCAGACTTTAGTTCCACCTGGAGTAAATCCACCAGGTACCCTGCAGTATACAAAGTCATTCAAACTAGCTGCACCTTTACCAGCTTTGAGAACACTTTCATGATCAATCATTATAAAACATATCATATATATTATTCTGAAATGGACCAATCTGCACAACGACTACTTTTACTGTCGCTACTTTAACTATATTTTGATGAGAATACTTTTCTACTTTTAATTGAGGAACATTTTGAATGCAGTACTTTTACTGTAACAGAGTATTCCTACACTCTGGTACTTCTACTTTTACTCAAGTACAAGACCTGAGTACTTCTACTTTTACTCAAGTACAAGATCTGAGTACTTCTACTTTTAATCAAGTACAAGATCTGAGTACTTCTACTTTTACTCAAGTACAAGATCTGAGTACTTCTACTTTTACTGTCGCTACTTTAACTATATTTTGATGATAATACTTTTATTTGAGGAACATTTTGATTGCAGGATTGTTCCTACACTCTGGTACTTCTACTCAAACCTGAGTACTTCTACTTTTACTCAAGTACAAGATTTGAGTACTTCTACTTTTACTCAAGTACAAGAACTGAGTACTTCTACTTTTACTCTAGTACAAGATCTGAGTACTTCTACTTTTAATCAAGTACAAGATCTGAGTACTTCTACTTTTAATCAAGTACAAGATCTGAGTACTTCTACTTTTAATCAAGTACAAGATCTGAGTATTTCTACTTTTAACACCTGAACACCTGAACGGCCCGTTCTAACAGCTGTTCACCAGCGGTCAGTCTGTGCCACAGTGACTCCGGACCGCACAGTTAATATTAACGAACGCACCCGTAGGTAATGTGGCTGCTGAAGCTAGACCATCATCGCGGAGCAGCGGAGCCGACAGGCAGGAAGACTCGAGCACACAGCTCGCGCTGCATTATAATATATAAAAAAAGAACACCATGCGTGTCATGACGGCACATAACAGCTCGCGGCCGCAGATTACTCCGGGTCCCAGACCCCAAAAATATTTTTATTGCAGATCTACATGAATCACACAAACGACCTATTTTGGATTCAAAACGGCGAATGTCGCCGAAAGGTGACAAGTTTGCATCCCTGGTTCTAGAGAAAAGCTTAAATGTTCCATGGAAATGTTATTCATTTTTCTGGTGTTACTGGATCATCCTTCGGTCCAAATATCTGAGCAGGCCTCTCAAGATAACTATGGACAACATTATACATACAGTATAATGTAAATGTTAAGACTAAAAAATGCAACTACAAAGAGCAATGACCTGTTCATTCTTAAGAATATTCTGACATTAAATATCCTAAATAAATAGCCAAAATCGTAAACTAAACCAATATAAGCAACTTGCAGATATGTAAACAAAGTTGTGCAGTGTCTAACAGTGAAGCAGCGTTAAACATGTACGCAAACACAGGTTATGAAGGTCATGTCCATATATCATCGATAATCGATATAGGTTGAGAATGTAATTATTTTGGACAGGGCAATCTCTGAGTTCCTACTGCATCAAACACGCTGACAACACATTGAACTGACTCACGGTGTGACCTGTCTTTGGAAATACCTGTGGCCTTTTTGATACAAGTTAAACCATCAATTAAATAAAGTGCACATCTGGCTGTGGTTGGATTTTATGAGGGTAAAAAGATTTAAACTCGACTAAACTCACACTAAGCAGTTGACCAGAAAACACCAGAACATCTTTAATTGCAGAATTTTCCACATTAGATCTGAAAAAACCGTTTTGGGCAATCTGACTTTCTGCATCCAACGCAGGCTTTGTGAACAGAGAGGTAGAAAGGTATGAGAACAGATGAAGGGATTGAGGCGGTGTGTGTGTTGGGTTACTCTGTGACCTGTGTGCTCTTTAGCCTGGGGGCAGGAAACCCCCACACTGTTAGTGTTACACCTGACAGACATCAGTGAAGCTCAGATGATCTCATCAATCTGTCCCTTCTTAGTCCTTTACCATCTGTTCTCTCGCTTCTGAAAAACATCCAGAAATACCTCTACAGACTTCCACCAGGTTAATAAAAGAAATGAAAGCTCTTTATTGACATATTTAGCATACAGATGAATTTACAGGAAAATAAAAATGTACAGTACGACAGGCTGCTTAAAAGGCCAAAGAACAGAGTCCTGTAAAAATGTATCTGCAGCTTTAACATAAAAGAAAATTAAAAAGTTTAAAAATGTTTAAACAATGCAAACTTAATGTACCGCGTTGTAGTTTTAAGATATAATTCTCAAGCGAGGGAAAACTCAAGAGGAACAAATTCACAAATAATCTCTATACTTCCTATAACATAAATCCTGACAAATTGAGCAGAAGAGTAAACAACAACAAAAGTCAAACACAAACGCAGCGTTACGCGTCTTTGGTTCATTGAAACGCAATAGGTTTAAAACCGTAGAAACACAAAGGACATTCAGTCTCTTTTATAACTTTTATCAAGTCAATTACAAAGGGGAAAGCTAATATATACGAGGCAATTCGGTGACACTTCACGGACGCTAGGATCTAATTGAGTGAATATTATTTTGGCTGTCTTTGAGGGTCCGGTAAAGCGCAACATCAGTCAGTGCTGCTGCGCCTCGGCTTCAGTGTCTGTTATGTGCAAGATGTCCTGAAACATGGAGAGGACGCGGCCATAGTGAGTGCCCTCCCAGAACACCTTGCCACATCTGGTGCAGACATAGAAGAGCGATATCCTCCGCAGGAGAGCAGGGGGCACGGTGTGGAGCTGTATGGGTGCCCCCCCGGGAAAGGTCAGGGTGTCGGGGTCCAGCTCTGAGAGGGGCGCCCATTGACACTCAACATACCTGGGGATTTCAGGGGTCACACCGGGGGTCGGGAAGTCATCGAGCTTCCCCTCTTCCTGCTGGTGTGTGTGGTCGCTGTCGCCCTGCAGGAATCCTACAAACAGAACACAAATAATGACTTTATTCTCAAAGAAGTTAGGGATGCTGCTTGTGAGGTGAAAACTCATCCAATAGGCTGTTTTGGTTCCAGGCGCTGAGCTAATTCTTTATAAACAAAAGATTGTAAGAAATGTCACCTGACGAGGACAGCCTTATTAGCATTAAGGGCTGCTAAGGAGTTTAATCATTTTTGAAATAATTTTTCTAGATTATTACATTAATGGCATGGGTCTATAAACTGTAAAAAAGCAATGAAAACTGAAGCACATATTTGACAGCATTTACTTCCATTTTTGTATGCACAAGTCTGTTTATCCTTTATCTCACAAGCTGTATGATACTTACTTAAAAAATACAGAAAACTGAAGCAAAGATTTAAGGCGTAATGTTGTGTAGATACGTTATCTTTCTACTAGGTATCCACCGGGCCGGTTGTTCTGACCTTTCTGTTTCAGCATCCTGACCATGTCCTTCCTGGGCACCGCCGCGTACTGATCACTGTTACATGCCTGGACAAACAGATAAAAGCAGCAGGGTTAAAAAAGTGTTTTCAAACCTCAGAAAGTCTTGAAGATTTGAAGGAAAGAGAGAAAATATGTTAGACATCTTGCAGCCTGGTGTTTGTCTGAAGGCAAGACTGTGTACAACCTAAATGGCAAGTTGAAAATCCTGCCAACAGAGAGAGGGTGAAGTGATGATAAAATTACTCAAGGAAAAACAGCGGCCATTGTTAAACAATATTTCCTCATAAGTGTAAAGGAATATTTTGACTTCACAATAAGCATCTATAATGACCAAAGTGAACGAGCATATATTATTTCTCCAGTGTGAATTTAATACCTGACAACATTATGAGTATTCTCTAAATTATTTAAGAAATGTAGCTCAAGCTGTAGACTGACTTTGCACACATATACAGAGTAATCAGATTAAGGTAATAGTTTGATTTAACCGGAGTCTAGTTACTTTGCATTGAACAGAGATAATATGAGATGTGATGTAAACACGTCAATCTTTAAATACTATTCTTTTAAAATAATTCATATCAGATTTTCTAAGAATTTTCTGTTAGTATGTGCTTGTTGTTGTCACTTTAGACGACATCATTGTGTACCATGACAGGGTTCCTGCAGGTTTCACCAACTCAAATGTAAGACTTTTTAAGACCATTTTGAATAGAATTTAAGATCTATTTCACGGCAAGAAAGTATGAAGGAAAATTGCTATGAAAGAAGAAATATGTATTCATGTTCAACATAAGAACGATGACTGAACATAACAGTACACAGAACTGTGTTAGCGTGTTAGACAAAAAGTGTGTGTGTGTGTGTCTCTGTATGTGTGTGTGTGCAGGGCCGCCCCTGGCCAACTTGTGGCCCCACGCAAAGTTATATGATGAGGCCCTCTGTGTCGCGAGCGTCGACGCTGCATTTGCGGCTCAGTTGAGGCTCCCTCCGCAAGATGAGGCCCCCTCCGGGAGGTGAGGCCCCACGCAGTCTGCGTGATCTGCCTGTAGGGAGGGGTGGCCCTGTGGGTGTGTGTGTGTGTGTGTGTGTGTGTGTGTGTGTGTGTGTGTGTGTGTGACTGAGTGACAAGAGCTATATTCAGAGCTCTGCTGCCTTCATGCTGTTGTATGATTGGTGTTTAGCTACTAAAAGGTGCAGCGGGCTTCAAACATGTTGCCCTCCACTGGTTTCAACTAAGCACTAAATGTGATGTTTTCCAACCAAATACGGTTGAACTTACACTTCCCCATAATTATTTGTAAGAAGATTCGAAGATAGCCGCTAGCTGAAGCTTGGATGGTTGCTAGGTTACTAGCTGGGTGTTCTCCGATAAGGGACCGGGGGAAACAAAGTTAGTGATTACTGGTTCCATGTTGATTTATTTCAATACAAATAGTTTGGGGGAACTGAAAGGCTATTACCGTACTGGTTACTTTGCAGCCCGGACATTTCCCCCAAAACACGTTTAGACACATTTTTAAGACCTTCTAAATCATATTTAAGACCTTTCTTATTTTTTTGATCATATTAAAGACTTTTTAAGGCCTTAAATTCTGATGATGAAATGTAAGACTTTTTAAGACCCCGCGGGAACCCTGCAGGATACAAATCCACTGAAAGACAATAACATGGCTGTATTCGGTTTTCGAAAATTACAAAGATATTGGCACCTCCCTCCCTCCCCAGATTTGAAATGAGAAATAGGTGGTAGGGCTTCATTTTTACTGGAGTATATGTGTATAGTGTATTTTACGCTCCTCAGTCATATTGCAGCAATGTGTGTGAAACTGTAAGTCTACTTTAGTAACACTATGTTAACTGTAGCTAGCAGAGTTCACCTGTCAGACCTTTGTTAGAATCCAGCTGTAGACGAGGGTCTTAAAACCATGTGTTGACCCATTCACACTGATGGCAAACAGAAATGTTTCCTAAGTGGCAGCTTTGGTGTGAAAGGAGCTAAGTGTTAGAGAAAGATCAGATCAGTGTGTGAGTGTGTGCGTTTACGCCTCAGTGGCGTTCACATGTCCATGCTGTCCCGGCTCTGCGTGGTAAAGAGCTCTCTGGTGGGACATTAGTGACCCCTTGTTTGCCGGCCCCTAACGTGCACACACACACTCGTCTGTGAGCCGTCCTGACAGCACCTCAGTGCTAAAAGCCTTGTCAACACACCTGAGCTCCACCCAGCAAACAGCATTCCACTTAGAGGTGGGCTGTAAATCAAAGAGTCAAATCCTAAAGCCAGTCTGTCTGTCTTTGCCCAGAAAAAGTTAGACAACAACGGCAAATTAGGAGCGTAGCACCCACTCTAGCGACAGTGCGTCCTCTCCTCTGTGTGCACACGCAGGGCGCTGTTTGCCTCTGTGGTGAGTGAGGTCAGCACAGGAGAAAGCGGCTAGACAGCGGAGGTGTGGGAAAAGCAGAGGTGTCATCTCCTGTCCTATCTGTGGGAATGAAGCTCATCTCTCCCTCAGCACACTCTGGATTCTCCTCTTTGTATTATGCCTCACACACACAGACACAAATTCCCCACACAGACAAAACACTTTACAATTCGCACAGGCTTCACTACAGTGCGCATAGCATACGAGTGCTCGCAGCGCATACACATGGCTCACACATAGGAAAACAGACCCAGCTATTTGCTCAGCTCACAGTTTCCCAGAGTAGAGCAAGCCAGAACCTGCTCTGAACTCTCAAGGCTAGGCCATGGACGGGCAGGCACACACGCACAGCGGCTCACACACACACGCACAGCGGCTCACACACACACGCACAGCGGCTCACACACACACGCAACCTGGATGGAGGTCACTCTTTCTGTGATTATTCAAAACACAACTAGCTACAAATGAAAAGATCATAAAGAGATCAATAAGCCAAGGAAATAAAGAAAATATACATGAAAGAAGTGAAATTATTTAAATTTGAAAAAATGATGACAAATGTTGCATTAAGGTAACACACATCAAAGCAGAGGTGAGGGCCACAAGTTTGATGATTTTAGAGTTGACAAGATACATTTCTTTTTACTTTAACTTGGACAATAATGACTCGGGAATTCACGTGGATTCAAGCCGATCAATTTGAAAATACTTGGTACCTTTCATTGAAGACTAAAATGATTGTTGAAAAGTGTGCCATGAATCAATTTATTTCGCTACATTTCATCAATCAACTAAAGTTAGCGCTATTCATTCCTTACAAGTTGGCATCTTATTCCCAAGATCCACTTTGTTAGATGCTATCCGTCAGACAAATTGCATGTCTGGTGACAGAAAGCATTAGAGTGACAGCATTGTCAACAGAGCATAGTTTTGCATGTTTGCACAAGCACAATATCATGATTATGATTCAACCGGACCACACTGTGTTTCAAAACACAAGTCTTAAAGTATCACAAGCTTTCCCCTAGGGCAGTGAATGTACCAACCAAGTTGCAGTGATGATAATGTGTTTTCCTCACAGTTTGACAGCAACTAATAACATTTCAATACGTTCTTCCCGTCAATGTTCTCACCAGGCTTTTCCTTGGAAGTCAAAGCCAACGGGCCTAACGTTTCAAAAGAACATTAATAAATGAAATCAGCAGACGGATAAAAACTTGTATTCAAATGGTTTTATTCTACCCTAAAACATTTGAGGCAGTTGCTACATTGCTGCATTTTTACTCTGCTTCTCTTTTGTTCTGTGTTTTTCAGGGAACCTCCTGCATTCTCACACTCCGTGTGGCCGCACCGGAGAAAGAATGCTCCTTGCCGTGACAACAAAGGCTATCTAAGTGTGATACTGTGTTTCAAAGGATGGGATGTGGTGGAAAAAAAAAGAGGAGAAAGGGGGATAGTGGAGAGGAGGTAGGAAAGTGAGGGAGGGAGGGGGGTGGGAGATTTTTCCCTAACGTTCTCAAACACACACACACACACGCACACAAACTGGCTCTGTAGGCAGCTCCCATGGGAAAATCCTAGACCAATCTCACAAGGCGGTGCTTTTAGGGCAAATGTAGGTCACATGGTCACAGTAGCCAATTGGGCTCTAGTGATTTGATTCAAATTGTGGTAAGTCAGGTAAGGGGCAGCGTGGGAACTGGAGAAGAACGAGAGGGGAGGAAGAAATGTCGTTTCCCTTTGAAAATGTTGTCTTTTCCTTTTTTGATGTGAATCTCAGGTCCAAGTGAAGGTTACAAATACTTGTTTTACTGTCCAAGGTTGCTGTGGTCTAAAACATATACAGTATATAAGAAAAGGCCAGCTTTTTCTAGAAACTACAGTATCCCTTCCCGGGAAACAGAAACAACAGATTCTTTGTTTTTTCCGATCATTATGTCTGGGAGATTCTGGCATATTTAGTTCCCTGTCAGTCTGTCAGGCAGATATAAATATTTATTGCCACTGTAAAATGATACAAGTCCATTTTAAGAGAGATGGCAAGTTGAACTGGAAAAATCAGCCTCATAATGCTGTTAAAATGATGACTAAGGGTGTGGAAGCGTTGACCTTATTCTTGCCTTTCCCAAAAAGTCCCAAGGTCGTGCTAGGTGACTTGGATTCCCTCCAACAGCAATTGACACTCTCACACATGGACTCTTTACTGACGAATGCAAACGGCAGAAAAGTGACCCCTTTTCATTATATTTGGCAGGAGAAAGTGTGGAAACATCTTGCATCATTTAGCACTCTTCCACTGAAAAAGCTGACATCAGTTCAGTGTTAATCATTTTAAATCAAGTTATCTTTGACGGAGTATAAAGCTGAGTACCAGTCGAAAGTCTGAAATGTAATACAGCTGACCAAAGAAAATAAACTCTCTTCACTTATAAACTGCAGTTATAAATATGTTGAATTAAAATCTAAAAGGATTTCCTGCTAAGACACTATCCTGCGATGAAAAATAAAGTATCCTTACATTTGCTACAAGACACCAGAGTTGGAAATGTAGCCAGATAATGGTAAAGTTAAACAATTGATACCTCTCTTATAATGTTAAATACAAATTGAAATGATAAG